CTTGAAAATGGCTAGATCAAATGCCTTGAAATTTGGCACACATATGTATAGGCATATGTACAAAGCACAGAATTTTTTTCAACTTTGACCTTGACTGATGACGTCATCTAGGCGCCATTTTGTAAAATTTTACGAAAATCAACTCATGATCATATCTTCATAACCAAAAGGTATTTCTCATTCATATTTATCATGATCAAGGTCAATATCCGTCCGGTCAATTTAAGGCCAAATAACGCGGTCAATGCACGCGTAAAATTTTAAAATGCTCAAAATCGTCTCAAAATCATTTTGCATACGTTTTAGGCCATTCTAAGCATTTTATAAAAAATCGCGCACACGCGCATGCGTGCGCGTTTTCGCGCGTAAAACTATTGCACAACATAGAATTGCCATTTTTTTTCTTTCATAATATTCCTCATATTTTTACAAACAAATTGATAGTATGTTTATCTCTTTATGACTATTAATGACGGAATGATCGACCGTTTAACATAAATTTCCGTGCGTGCGAACTCTTGTAATACATTAGCATATATGGGCAAAAACATGCCTAATCAAAATCCATAGTAGCTCTTTAGGATGCAAGGTGACCCCAATTTTTTTTCATATTTTGATAGAGTATGAATCGGAGATATGATTTCATGTGTCATTTGACCCTCAATTAACTTATGACGTCATCATAATGGCCTCCGAACTCAAAATTGTAATTTGCATATTATGACGTCAGCATATTTTTGGAAAATTTATTGTATCTTTGTAAAAATTGATCGATTTTCTTCAAAATTTTGATATGTTCTAGCTGAGACGATTGTCTACAAATGCAATGCCCACAATTTAACATTTTGATAAAAGCATCATGGCGTATATTTGCGATTAAAGGAGGCATCTCATTTTTTCACATTTTGCGTGTATTCTCTAAGGGACATGATTTTTTCTCAAAAAATGGATTCTACATTCCCGTCTTTCGCGAGCAATATCTACGTCGTTTTAGCTTCATTTACGCTGAACTTCGAGTATGTTGTAGCTGAGACAAAAAGCTATCTCAATTGTACCCTTCATTTTGTCTCAATTTTTTGTTGGATCAGCCCACCTATACTTGTTCCAAACAAGTATTACAAATCTAGTTTTACTATTATGTTCAAACAGTTCAATATAACCATCGACAACTGACAGGAAGAGAAATATGCTAATTACAATTCTAGCCATCAAAATCATGAGACAGAATGTGGCCCAATCACCCCTTTGTATTTGTAAGAGCTATCTTTGATTGTATTACTTGAAAAGGAACATTTATTTGTGTTTTCCGGTCAGGCGCAAATAGTAAATTGCTTTCCTATATGTTGGTAGTCGTATATAGTATTGGTATAAGATATCTGCTTACCTGGACACTCGATTTTCCATCGTATTTAAAACATCCACCATCAAGAAACCTATAGTATTTGATATAGAGAGTTGAAAGCCAACAAAACAAAATATATTAAAACAAAAACAATGGGATTTTTTAATTTTTTTTATTTATTTTTTTTTTTATTTTTTTATTTTTTATTTTTTTTGGGGGGGGGGGATTCATGACATAACATCGATATCGGACATGGCCTGCGAGTACCGTATGATACTAACATGAAGAAGGTTCTAGTGAGTTGAAAGGCCCTCCTCATAACATTTCCATTCTCTTTTGTCTCTAGCTACCCTAGTCCAAGAGATCATTTAGACTTTCAACAAATATAACATTACAACCATGGCATTGGTTGTGAGTAGTGCCATGGGAAATGCGAGTTGACAGAAAATAACTGCCTAAAAATGTGTAAATGTTTACATTGTCAGTTTGGGATGCAAATAAGTAGGGATATAAGAAAAATATACCTCATGACTCCCACAACACCCACCACCGTGAGAAGCCCTTGAGCTGGCTGGGGCAGATTAAAGGATTCCCATGGGAAATTATCGCATGGACTTTTTGATAGTGTTTGCATGCCCCCTCCTTTCATCTAACCAATTTCAATTTTTTTTCTTTTCTTTTTACATCAGTTTGTGAACTGTGATTATTTTGTACTGATCTTACATTGATAATTCGTAATACGTTCAGATATTAACATACCCCCCCCCCCCTCTATTGAGGCTCTTTGTATCACCTTCTCAAACAACAATATACTGTATTATACTTTATTACTGTTCTGGTGGCAGCACCAATAAAGCCTTTGGCTTTCCTAGCTGTCTCCACATTCATATATAGTTTTGCTGTTGTATTTCATTGTAAATGTTTCTCTCTAACTTGTACGCTATATTTTGTATTTTATATGTTTGTTATGATGTTTTTATGATGAATGAAATAAAGTTCAATTCAATTCAATACTCGATACAATTTCGATAAGACAAAATCACACAAAAACAAACCTATTATTCACCTTTTATAGTTTACATTACAGTTAGACTTTCTGTTTATTTTTGTCTACTTTAATTTCATTGAGAAATGTATGAACATCTACTCGAACTCACTGTAAACGCAGACTATTCAATGCTTTCGAATATGTTGACGACTCGACAAGTTCAACCAAGTTTTCTTCGTCCAAGCACTTCATCCCGGACAGATTTAGCCGCTGTAGGTTCTTGGTTTGTTCTCTGATCAGTAGACCCAGTCCTCTCATCGTCTCTCTCGATACACTCTGCTTCTCTGATGGGAGTGTGTCCGGTGCTGTAAGGGTGATGCGTGTGAGCTGCTGTCCTCCGGACCAACGAAGACCAGCCGTGATCTGAGCTATGTCTCTTTCTGCATCATCGATAGTGATATCGATCTTTCTCAAGCCAGGAAGCGATGAGAGCAGACCGTCATAGCTTTGTGACGTCACTCTCTCGGATGATAGCTTTGTGACGGATGGAAGCTCAGGGTGAGATGGAGGGAAACTGAGAGAGGAGTCTGAGATGGTGAGAGAGTTCAGTGAGGTGAAGGATCTGAGACAGGACCACAACTTTGTGGTCATCTCAGTAGACAGCTGGCATTGCTTTATCTCAAGCCTAGTATTCTGCAATAAATATAAACAGACAAACTTGTCACTTTTATTTACATCGATCTAAATATTGAGAATAAGCATGTGCACATACCGAATCCCACGTCAGTGAAGCTGAAATTACAAGCAGTAATATAGTAATATAGTAATATAGTATTAATATTCCGAGAATTAATTGAGTTATTTCAACAACAAAAATGCAACTGTTTTGCAATTCCCTTTAATAACAAAATTTAGAGGATATCCCTTTGTTAAATATTTCAAAGTAAAATGCATGCACCCGTATAGCAAAAGTCACTCACCTGGACGTTGTTCTTTTTTAATAGAGTACCACCTCTACTCCTACAAAGAATATTTGAAAAGGAATGGGGGAAATAATGTGATTCTTGAAAGCAAATCTTGTAAAATGATATTACATTAATAAAGAATGCAAGTGAATTATGCATCCCCTCTTAACAGAGGTAAATGAAAGCAACAATACTAACAATAACAATAATGATAATAATCATATTATATGGTAATATATATAGTAATATAATATATAATAATAGTAATAATAGTAACAAATATAATCATGATAATGATATCAATACTAAAAAAAAAATCCATAACATACAATTTCAATACATTTGTGTTCATGCCGTCTTAAAATCAAAAAGCAAAATGAAGACATAGATCTGCAGTGACACAAGTTCGCAGAGTTTTTTGAAAATATTAGAACATTTGATATTTGATCCATGATTTCCCATATTTTACTCAAATTTATTTATTTCAATTATTAGCACATGGACGGCAAAGTTTTTAACTACAAATTGGTGCTACTACAAAAAAAAAATCGTCAAAGGATTCCGGAGATATCGCGATCTAAAATTCGATGTCGGATTGGCGTGCGCGCTGCAACTCATGAAATGGTCATACAAACAACGAGACCTTAATACTTTGTGCACGGAGGTTTACATCTGATTTATCTAAAAATTCAATCGTTAAAATGTAAGATAGTCTAATTGGATATTTTGCAATGAAAAATATCATACAATCAGTTACTACCAGGGGCGGCAATGTTTAGGGGGATGGGATCGTCCCCCCCCCCCCCCCTCCCCGAAAAATTTGAAAAAGTACACACACAAAAATGTTTGGCAAATGCTGACTACAGACTGAATTTTTTTTTTTCTTTGTTAGGCTCTGGAGGGCCAAGACGGAGTGCATTGTTTGGACTAGGCCTAGAAATCTAGGTCTAATAAAAATGCAAAAATCTTCTCGCTCGGTCACTAGCTACAATCCCTCGCATATGTCCTTCACAATGTAGAAGTAAATATTGCGGAAATTTTGTATTTCGTTGGTATCACGTAAGCCCAGTTCACAGATCACACTGTAAGTTTACAAGATTAAGAGTTAGTCTATAGACCTAGAATTTAGAAATAGATCAGTGCTAACAAAATTAATATTCCGCTCGCTCATTTTAATTTTTATTAGTCTAGATCTAAGTTTTATTTTTTAGGAGTCCCTTCCAACCTGGTTATACAAATATTGTCGCTTGACTTTCTAAAGGGAAATGGAGTCTAGATCTAGATCTAGTGTACATCTTTCTAAAAAATAGTATTATTAAGTCAAACTCAAGGTCCTTCATTACATGACTAGATCTAGACCTAGAGCTTGACAGACTCTAATTAAAGTTTACTAAAAGGTAGACCTACCTAGATTTAGATCTAGAAACCCTTCGCCTCGGACTGCACACTAATTACCGGCAATGTAAAAGTGAATTGTGAAAAAAGCATATTGCTTGTTTGTATACTTTAATACTGTAATGTTTTAAAGACCTTGACCGGAGCAGAGCATTATATAGACAAATTATATACCTACGGACTCGTGAATATTTACTGAATATGATAATGCAAACTTCTCGAGATTCCACGGCCTCTGAAAGAAGTATTTAGCATACGAACCCCAGGATTCACGGATTTGAGAGGGGCACCCCGGAGATTTAGTTTCGGCTGCGCTAGCCGGTGGCCGTTTCTACCCGTTTCTGATGACGTCATAACGTGTAGGTTATTTGGCCACTCGGTATAGCAGCTGGTTCTTCGCATGGTGGTCGGTATGTGAAGTTTTCTTCTCTCTTTTTTTGTTGTTGTAAATATCAATGTCGAAGCTGTATTTGGACATTTTACGATTAGAATGTTGACATTTTATATCTGTATTAATTTCACGCTACGTAATATGGAATATCAACCCCAAATTTCCACTAAATTAGATTGAAACGAATCATTTGCCCGCGCTGCTGGCTGCCTGCCTCGGTCTGCGATTGCACAACTTTCAGCAATCTATCGCTGAGCCTCGCGAGAGCACTCGGGCCGCGGCCGGCCCGGCCTGACTTGCCGCGCCGTGTCATGCTGGTGGTCGTGGAATATTTCTCGAACAAAACTAAGTTTCGCTCGCTTTTAATCGCACAGATAGCCTTTCCTTTTGCATGGTTTACCAGCATTAAATCAAAGAATTATTTAGATCTACATTGTTTTATTGTCTAGAATATAGTCTGTAAACAATGAAAAATAAGAAGAAGATGAAATGGAGATTTTGAAGAAGAATTGGGCCTAAAAAAAAAGAAAAAGAAAACTAGGTAGTTGGTAGAATCTAGGCCTTGGACTCGTGCCGCCCAGTGGCAGTGCACTGCAGTACAGTGAAGCCAGGAACTAAATTATTTTGAATTGATGTCAGAAATCACATGGGTGCCTCTTCTTGATACTTTCTTGTGATGAAAACACTGTTTTTATTCAAATCAAAATGGTCTAGATCTAGTGTTGTTGCCAGGGATGATTATTAAAACAAAATCATCGGTCATTTGTTGTTGACTTTGCTTCTTTTTTTTTTATCCGACTACAGATTAACTTTGCTTTTTTTTTCTATGAAACTAAGTTTAACTAATTTTTGTCTAACTTTAATAGCAATGTTAATGTTATAGATCATTTATTATTTTGTCATTTTATCTTGATCTTGAAATGCCGAGATCATGATTGCTAACTATTTAAATGAACTCTCCTTCACCTTTACCGCATATATTATATTCCCAATCTTATTACAGGTACAAAGGTGTACGACAAGCTTCGAGAGGAATGGCTGAGGACCAGACTGGTGAACGACATTGGGATGATGTCCCCACATGCCCAAACCAGCAAGGTTGAATCATTCCACAACATCCTCCTTCACTTTTGCCCCAAGTTGCTTGTATACTCATATCAAGGGATGAAGTGCAGGTAAATTAGGCAATTAATTCATCAACATTATGCTCCCCTAATATAAATTTAACAAGAACGTCACAGAGGGCAGTGTTGTTTCTTCTTCTTCTTCTTTTGAATTTGATTTTATTGGTTTTATCTTTTAAAGTTATTATTTTCTTTTTGTTATAGCCAGGTTCTTTCTATTTCATATTTTGTTGGGTTTTTTATTTTTTATTTATTTATTATTTGTAACACATGTTTTTTACACTAACTCTTGCCTTCACTTATTGGAGAGTAGGTAACGAGTTTATGATGATAGACATTACATTACCAAAAAGATAAAATCAACTGTCACAAGTATGTTGTTCATGTGACCTTTATTTTTAACTTCACTCTTTTCAGATTATATTTGGCTGTCCTACATTGGAACGAAAATTGTGATAGAGCCCAGGCTGTTGATGCCGAAGGGAACCCAGTGTACAGGTTGAAGTATCCACGCTCGAAGGAAGGAGGCCACACAGTGGAGAGAGTGCTGACAGCTGGCACATGTGGTAAGTAGCCACATGTCTAGTGAATGATATCAATATTCAACAAAAGATCTCAATTATATATAGAAATCTTTTATTACTTCATGATCAATAGAATTCAAATTAGTAGATTCTTGTGGCCTATATGCCCTTAATTTAATCTGTTGATTAAATTGATAATTATAAACATGTATTGGGTTACTTTCTGCAAATGTGTAATATTGAATAGCAAGCAGAAACAGGCATATATGTCAGTCCCCAAGTCAGTGAACTACCTATTCAGCAAAGAACATGTGCATGCCATTGGTATTTGATTGGTCATAGTGTGTAAAATTAGGTAATTCAATATTTGTGAGAAAAAGAGTTTTCTCTTCTTATGTACTTATTTTTCTCTTTTTCTTTTTTCCTCTTATCAAAGTGTATTTTTTTAATACCGTATAGATGAATTTTCAAGGTATAGTTTTGGATTTTATCTTGTAGGTTATGTGAAAGCCCTGATGAGAGTTGTCGTAGAACTGGTGGAAAACAGGGAGCAGCTCAGAGACAACATGGAGGAGCTACAGCCTCAACCAGCACGGAGTGCCTCTCATCATCACCCCGACAATGGAGAAGCCGTGCAAGCTTTTGAACAACATCATCGCTTTGGCGATAGAAACTAGTTCTTTTGGTGATAGAAACTATGATGAATGTGTCAGCTACCTGAACATCCTTGCAGATATAATAAAAATAGTCATCTATCCTGTAAACTTTACATAAAATAAGGATGAATGTAATGTACATGTTGCATCAAAGTTTTTGTTCCAATGGTGCATCATTTTGAAATATATTGCACAAACAGAGAAGAAAATGATTGGGGGGAAAAACCGTCAATGGGATGTTCTGAGAATATTTTGAGCAAAGGTAAACAAAAATTCATCTAAAGGAACACAAATCTTGTTTGTTTATTTCTATTATAGGTGTCTTGTAGGAAGCTTCATAATTTAAAGATGGAAATTGCTGTGAAAATGAGAGTGAGATAGAGAATGTGAAGGAAGAAGAGGGATAAAGATAGATACCAATAGGGATAGAGTGAGAGATGTGAATGTGATGGATGGAAGAGGAAAAAGAGAGATTGTGAAAGAGTGAGAGATGGGAATGTGATGGATGGAAGAGGAGAAAGAGAGATTGTGAAAGAGTGAGAGATGGGAATGTGGAGGGTGGAGGAGGAAAAGAGAGGCAGAGGGAGAGAGTGAGAGATGGGAATGTGGAGGAAGAGGAGGAGGGACAGAGTGAGAGATGGGAATGTGGAGGGTGGAAGAGGAGAAGGAGGGACAGAGTGAGAGATAGGAATGTGGAGGGTGGAAGAGGAGAAGGAGGGACAGAGTGAGAGATAGGAATGTGGAGGAGGAGAAAGAGAGGAGCGACAGAGTGAGAGATGGAAATATGGAAGAGGAAACAGAGAGAGGAAGTGGGATAGAGAGATGGGAATGTGGAGGGTGGAAGAGGAGAAAGAGAGAGGAAGAGAGACAGAGTGGGAGATAGGGTTAAGGTTTATCCTTTTTGGGAGGATAGATTTGATGTAAAATAAAGGATTTCCTGGATTTATTACGATGCTTACCATTTATCACACATTTGAAATTTCGTCAACCGCAATTCCCTTCTCTTACTCTCATTATTCCTCTGTCTATCTTTGTTGTGTCCATGCTGTTATTTCTCTTTCTCTCAATTTCGTTTTCTCTTTCAATTTCATTTTCTCTTTCTCTCCCCTTTTCTGACTCGGCAGGTTGACTGTATATGAAATGCTCAAATTATTAAAACAAATTACATTGCAGGGTGTATAACAAAAGAGAAGGAACAAGGCATGTTGTGTTGTTTTTTTGGTTTTTTTGTTGCTTGTTTATATAGATTTCAACATTCTTCCTCATAAGAAATCGTTGCTTGATCACAGTTTTGCAAAAGTTCGAATATCTGCTCTTGGAAATTAGAATCAAATGTCGAGATCAAAGTTCATAGCAACCATACCATCATGAGAAGTTCAAACAATAGTATTTGTGATGAATATGAAGATTAAAGCCGATGATCACAAATAACGTACAGAAGATGGCTGACAATCACATAGAAGATGACAGTCATTCAAAGTTCGCAAGACAATAGTTGATGTTACATCCTCATCTCAACCGACGCAGGATGGTCCCTTTGTACTGACCACGTCCATCAGGATACGCTTCCATTATTGAGGCATGGACACATGCTGGCAGTTGCACCCTGATGTCCTTCCCGAGCCAGCCCCAACACCATCTCACGACTTTCCTGTAGGCCACATACCTGTATTTTCTGTAAAATAAAAAGCAATAAAAAAAAAAATCATTATTTTTCTTAGGATAGATGATTTGATGTCAAAATATTAATTCTTTATTAATTAATTCAGGAAAATAAAAATGATTAAAAAAACTAAAATGACCAAGGGTTAGTCATTGTTTGTCGGGCGGTGGGGGGCAACATTCAAAATCGCATATAAAGTTTGTGTTTCATAACTACAGATTATTGGGGGGGGGGGGGGGTAACATGCTAAAACTCACAAATCGGTGGTCATTCTTGCCTATTTGTATACATTTCCTGAAAAAGTGCCCCGAAGCACCTGCAGATAAGGCAGCTAGTACACCAGTGGTCACCAGGCAAGAATTTTGGTCAAAACTAGTAATTCATCTTGCGGTGACTCAATTCGTTTTGAAAAGTTTCACCCAATAAACTTTCAAAATCAATCCATTTATTTGTTTGCCCTTGCCAAAATGATGAAAAGGAGAAACATAACTTACTCATTGTTCCTGTCCCCAAATGCTTTGGCTGCTCGGCGCCACCTATCTGTGTACTCCATCCATCCGATGTACAATGTTGTCGCATTTAAGATGGCCGGCTCAAACTCCTCAGAATCCACCAGACAACTTGAACCCTGTCGATTAGCCTCTGCCTTGACCTCTGCAATTTCCTGACAACAGACACAATCACCTTCATTGAAAGATGGAGGCACACGACATCTTCCACATGTACACCTTGAAATACAGAAAGATTCAAACAAAAATCAATACACCTACTATAATTTTATAAATATTTTATTACAGCTTCCTGATAAATATAAAAATGACATCGTTCTCGTAGTCGTAGTATGGTAAGAGTGCCCAAGGCAGTGCCTATGTCTGCGCACCCACGTAAATGCGCGATATTTATAGAACAAAACATCAAACTGACACCAATTTTCAATCTTAACCTCAACAATTCATTTAGATACCAAAATTTGTGAAAATAATTGGGAAGATTAAAAATGAGTTTTAGCAAGTTTCATTTGCCACCCTGAAAATTTCAATCATTGTCAAAAAAGAAAAGTCTGAACAGGGGGTTGTCCTATGAAACTTCACTGTGCTTGATTGAATTGCGTGCAAAATAGTGAGTGCGCAGACATGGGCACTTTTCAGTTTTGCTACACAAAATGACGAGCCCGTCTGAAATTCGTTAAAAAAAATTGTTCTTGTGAATAATTTGTCGAGTTTTTTTGTTTCAGTAATCATTAGAATATGAAGAACGGAATAACAATGATGATTCTAAAAATAATATCTTACTGTGTAATGAAATCGAGGTCGAATTTTAGGTGCGCAGACATAGATCTAGAGAATCATTCTAACAAGTTAACTTTAGAATTAGACATGCCATTTATGACCGAGTCTAGAGATCTACGGTATTTGATTTCAATTTTTGGGGGGAATAAATATTTAGAATGCACAACAAATTCAATAAGCTTATAAGTCTTAATTACCAATCCTCGACATTTTCATGAAGCCGATTTGCGTTGTTGGCCCTTCCAGCATCGCCAACATTTTGCCCAGGTTCACCACGAGGTAAAGGCTCATACTCCCACTCGACGATACGCCCGTGTTCTCCGGCGTCTGCATCACTTGCATCTCTGTCGGTATCACTGCTGCTGCCACTGTCCGGACTGTCACTACTACCACTGACACTGTCATTTTCACCGCTTTCCCCGCAACTGCCATCCTCCTCACACTCAAATTCCATAACTAAATCATCTTGTGCATCTGCCCTGACGACTGGGGTAGCCATTCTCTTTAGAAAGACTTCTCAAAACTTCTCAAACTTCAATCGATAAAAAGCAGAAAGGATTCACGGTACGCAAAATCAATGTAGATCTCGAACATCGCGCGGCGAAGAATTATAGCAAACAATTCGAGTCTACACGGAATGACGTCACCCAAGTCCGTGCGGCGCTGGGGCTCTTGACCGAGGCGAATTTGGGAGGGGGCGGCAGTTGTACTGTAATTTTCATTTTTCTCAGTAATGAAAGGGTATTTAATTTTTTCTTTCTTGTATTTGTATTTTGTGTTTTATTAGCCGTCTGTGGATGTATGGTTGTGTACGCTCCGGTCAAGGTCTTTAATACAACAAAAGTTCAAATAGATCTAGATCTAGATCTACATGTGAAAGTGTAAGGGGGTAGATCTAGTCACTTCCGTCACCTTCACCCCTCTCGTTCACTCGTCTAGATCTACGCCTATGCTCCCTCGCACTTTGTCGCACCGGTCATGAAAAAAAAATCGCCGCCCCTGGTTGGTACCACTTTTTATTTCAAATTTGTAGACATAGTCTACTGTCTAGGTCTATGCTCTCAAAATAAAGTTTTACAAACCCTTGTCGGCAAGTTCATGTTTTTCGGAACGGACGCAAAAACCAAAAGACTACAAAATTTGCCGATCTGTTGTCAATTTCACCTCCAATTAGGCCTAGGATCTAGGCCTAGATCTACACAATTTCGTCTCTCGGTAATTTTAGGTTTCTCTTTCCATTAGTGATATCAGACTTTCGAAATCTTACCGATTTTTTTGACATATCGAACTATGGTCACACCATCATACATCAATAAAGATCTAGACCTAGAGCTAGATCTAATATAGGCCCTAGGCCTAGGCCTAGTAGTAGTACTAGGTCTAGTAATATGCCTACTAGTAGTAGGCCTAGATCTAGTAGTAGACCTACTTTACCTACCCCGAATCCATGTACGTTAGTTGTTTAGTCTTGACAAACAGGTCCACCAAGGCTTCTTCGTCTCTGCCCCTCACCCCAGACACATGCAGCCGTTGTTGGTTTTTGGTTTGGTCTTCAAATAGAAGACTAAGCTCTCCAATTGTCTCTCCTGATTCAATTTTCCTGTCTGTGGTGCGTCCTGTCAAGGCGTGTAGGCCTAGTCTGATATGAACAAAGAACTGTTCATCCATAGCCCTAGTCTGATTCTTAGGCCTGGATGCGGTGGTGATCTGAAAAGTGTTGCTCGTCTCTGCAACATCGATAGAGACATCGATATCTCTCACTCCGGGTATCGTTGAGAGCACTCCTTCGTAGCTTTGTGACGTCACTCTCTCAGCTGATAGCTTTGTGACTGATAGAAGCTCCTGAGGAGATGGAGGAAAGCTGAGAGACGAGTCTGAGATGATGAGAGTATCTAACATCAAAAAGTCTTTGAGGCAGGTCCATAGTCCACTCGTCACGTCGGTAGTTAGAGTAGACCCCTGAAAATTTACTGTCCTTACCTTAAACAGAGAGAGAGAGAGAGAGAAGGTGAGGGGGGGGGGGTGAAGAGAAAAAGAGATAAAGACAAAATGTAATAGTCAGAACATCGATAAGTTGATGAAG